GCAAGGAAAAAAACATTTCTGCTTTTTTTAGGCTGATGAAGACGCTGTGCAGGAGATCCATGATTAGGATCCCCCTCTTTTCATTTTGCTGATTAAAGCCATGTAGAGCCATGCTTTGAAGAGGGGAGGGGATTTTGAATCCTTTCTCCCTGCCCGCCTGCCTCGCCCATGTCAATTAGCACAGGGGAGGGAAATAAGATTGGAGCAGTAAAAGTGCCCGTTTTATTTCGCTCAAAGAGCCAACAGCAGCTTTAGGAATGGAGAAACCAGGCCACCACTTCTCTGAACTAACTGACTTTCTTTATTTGCAGTCCATGGACAACTAGAACATAACAATTAGCAATAAATAACATAAAGAGAAATGCACATTAATGCAGCTCAAATAAAACACAGAGTTATAACAACACTAAACAGTGTGAGTCTCTCTGTGTGCACGGCGATCAGAAATGCTCTAACAAAAACAGCCACTTTCAAAAACTTTGCCATCTGTGATCGACTTACTGGAGCTTTGAAGCAGACTGATCATAAGACACTCAGAAGAGAAGCCAGGAAGGAATTAATGGGATATATTAGGTCTTTCCTAGCCTCTTGATAAAAACCATAGTAAAAAAAAAAAAAGGAGGGGGGATGAAAGATAGACTCAACTGCAACATTTTTTAAAAGGCAGCATCTTTTGTTCTTTGGGGTTTTGTGGTATCTGCCATCTAACAAATTAGAATGTTCAACCTTGTCAAAAAGAAAGAAACTTCCTATATTTAGGGATAGATAACTTTCCCAAGTCTGGCTTTCCATCTTTACAGAAGGGACATGGTACCAGTGACTGAGGGGAACAGGGTTCTCACACAATTCCTTGATGCTCTTGGAAATCGATATCCTAACGCCCCTGTTCAGCCATTGATTTGACACCCTTCGGATCCCACAGTTCACAGGTAAGAGGGTGACAGACCTATTGAGCTAATTTTTGCACCACAGGCTTCAACCAAGGTGATTTGAAAGAATCAAACATGCCGTAGAGACCAAGGAAAACTCACAAGCAGACATTCATAGTGTGTGTGTGTGGGGGGGAGCTTTGGATCCAACCCAATGGACCGGTTGAAAGAAGCATACCTCTGTTTAATAACTAGTAGTAGTACTACTACTACTAGTAGTAATAATAATAATAATAATAATAATAATAATAATAATAATATATTTATATCCCGCCCATCTGGCCGGGTCTCCCCAGCCACTTTGGAAGGCTCCAAGAGAATATTAAAAACAAGCGAAAACATCAAACATTAAAAACATCCCTAAACAGGGCTGCCTTCAGATGTCTTCTAAAAGTCAGATAGTTGTTTATTTCCTTGACATCTCATGGGAGGGCCTTCCACAGGGCGGGTGCCACTACCAAGAAGGCCCTCTGCCTGGTTCCCTGCAACCTCACTTGTCACAGTGAGGGAACCGCGAGAAGACCTTCAGACCTGGACCTCAGTGTCAGGGCTGAACGATGGGGTGGAGACACTCCTTCAGGTATACAGGACCAAGGCCGTTTAGGGCTGTAAAGGTCAGCACCAACACTTTGAATTGTGCTCGGAAACGTACTGAGAGCCAATGTAGGTCTTTCAAGACCAGTGTTATGTGGTCTTGGTGACCCAGTCACCAGTCTAGCTGCTGCATTCTGGATTAATTGTAGTGTCCGGGTCACCTTCAAAGGTATCCCCATGTAGAGCACATTGCAGTACTCATTGCAGTTGAGAGATGTGCAAGCTTTTGGTACTGCATGCAGTTCTTGCACCTCTCGCTTTGTGAGAGCTGAGAAACAAAGCAAGAAGTCTTCCACTAGTTATAGTTCCCGAAAGTATAGTTTGCCCAAACTAGGAAACTATGGTAAACAACTTTGGAACAAGCCAGAATATTAAGCCAACTTCAAAGCAACATAGGGTACAACATTGACTTACAGCCTTTCCTTTTGCATACTAAAACATGTTTTGTTATTCTGGCCTCTTCTGAAGCTGGAAACAATAGCTACCAGGTTCAGAGGAAACAGGAAGCGATGGTCAATGGAACTACTCTGTTTGCTCATTGATGTGACGGGGGCTGCATGTGCAGCCAAAAGCCCCAGTCATGTCCAGGCTTCAAATGAATGAAGTCAATGCCATTGAACTTCGATGGTCAATTCTCAGCAGCCATAGCTGCTGGCCATTGATAAATTTGTTTTCCCCAAAGATGCCAGATCCTTTCTGAAAAGCTTTTGGAGTCAGCAGCAGCCAACACATTTTTTTTTTTTTTTTGGCAAATGAATTCCACATGTTATATTTATGAGTTCTATAAAGAAAAGCCGTTTATTCTCGGAGGGAACACCGACCGCTAGACCTCGTGAGTGAGAGAAATGTTGCCATCCTGTGACCAAGGACAGTGGTACCTCGGGTTAAGTACTTAATTCGTTCCGGAGGTCCGTTCTTTTTTTTTTATATATATATTTATTCAAGATTTTAAACATTTATCACCAAACACATATAAACCCATCCCCAAAGTAGAATAGACAAAAAGAAACACACAAAAAAGAAAAACATACAACATCAAAATCAAATCCTTAATATCCATACTTTCTTCACCTTTTTAGATTTCCTCACATCTCTCGTTCCTGCATTCCAAATTTATAAAGTTCTATACAGCAAATTATCACCTTGTTTCATTTCTTATCTTGTATTTTTCCAATATTATGTCTCTAGTTTTAACTACATTAACCAAAAGCTTGAATATTTAATTTAGGCATAATATTAACTCAAAAATTTAACTTTTTCTCAAATTTCACCTATTCTCAAATTCCTTTCAACTAGCTTACTGATGCCACATTTATTTATTATTCTTGCATCTTTTCTTAACACTCATGCAATTTACAATGTTTTTGTAGGTAATCCTTGAATTTCTTCCAATCCTCTTCCACTGCTTCTTCTCCCAGGTCGCGGATTCTGCCAGACATTTCTGCTAATTCCATATAGTCTATCAGTTGCATCTGCCATTCTTCCAGCGTGGGCAAATCTTGGGTTTTCCAATGTTTAGCTATAAGTATCCTTGCTGCTGTTGTTGCATACATAAAAAATGTTAAATCCTTCTTTAACACCCTCTGGCCAACAATGCCCAGAAGCAAGGCCTCTGGTTTCTTAGGAAAGGTATACTTAAATACCTTTTTCAACTCGTTATATATCATTTCCCAGAAAGCCTTAACCCTAGGGCAAGTCCACCAGAGGTGAAAGAACGTTCCTTCAGTTTCTTTACATTTCCAAGATTTGTTATCAGGCAAGTGATATATTTTTGCAAGCTTGACTGGGGTCATGTACCACCTGTATATCATTTTCATAATATTTTCTTTTAAGGCATTACATGCTGTAAACTTCACACCGGTGGTCCATAACTTTTCCCAATCAGCAAACATAATATTATACCCAATGTCCTGTGCCCATTTTATCATAGCTGACTTGACCGTTTCATCTTGTGTATTCCACTTTAGCAGCAAGTTATACATTTTTGAAAGAACCTTAGTTTTAGATTCTAACAGTTCTGTTTCTAGCTTCGATCGTTCCGGAGGTCCGTTCTTAACCTGAAACTGTTCTTAACCTGAAGCACCACTTTAGCTAATGGGGCCTCCTGCTGCCGCCACGCCGCCGGAGCACAATTTTTGTTCTCATCCTGAAGCAAAGTTCTTAACCTGAGGTACTATTTCTGGGTTAGCGGAGTCTGTAACCTGAAGCGTATGTAACCTGAAGCATATGTAACCCGAGGTACCACTGTACTTCCTTTGGTAGAATCATAGAATCTTAAGAGTTGGAAGAGACCCAAGGGACATCTAGTCCAGCCCCCTGAAATGGTATGTCTTGAATCAGCTGCCTAAGTGGGACGGTTGTTGGCTGTGTTGGAGAACCTGAATTATTGGGGGGGGGGGAAACCTTTCCTCCATAAAATAAATGAAAACTTGATTTTTCTCAACTCCGTAGTGGGTGGTTTCACTTTGCCGTTGGCCAAAGCACACTGGAGGCCCGGTAGAGTTATTTAAGAGCTTGAAATAATTAGAATTTTTTAAAATTAAAAAAAAATGGATGTAGTTAATTTGCAAGCTCACTCTGGTCGAGTCTGGAGGCACTTCTACACTCACACACTCTCTCCTACTGAACTTACTAACTAATTTGGCTCCATTTGTAATACATTTTCAGTTCCCAGCAGCCGGATCTTCCTACATTCAGGAAAGCAATTACTGAAAGTCACTATGTTCCTTGCTCTCGCTGCTGTGTATCCAAAGGGGTAACAAGGAAATACTAACTGCTGAGTTTGTCACAAGGAATGGCAATTCATGGAGTGGAAGGGGAAAATAAGCATACCCATCAACAGGTTGATGGGGAAGAGGGAAGGGACCCCATCACTACCACAGTAGACTGGAATTCACAGCTGAGTAGCAGAAGCTATTACAATATAGTAATTTAATTCACAGAAATTGTAAATGCTTGTATATGCATGCATTTAAATTTGACCGGTTGGCAGCTGAATTCCAGAGAGTTCTCTAGTAGTTCTCATAGGATTGCTCAACGCTGGTCACGTGGGAGGTATCTAGCAAAGGAGAGACTCCATTTTACGTGAGGCAAAGTGACTGTGTTTTAGAATCCACTGTGAACACTGCTAAGTTGGATAGAGTGTTGTAGTTCTTCTCTGCTTGAAAGAAAGAGAGCAAAAGCTGCACTAGAAGATACAAGTGGAAATCTCTCATAGGAGCTGCAAGGCATGGCCTAACTGAGATACAGAAGGCTGAAAGTGCTGAGCTCTGGAAAGAGAAGAAAATACAGTTGTTTGGAAGTTAGAAGAAGAGATTGCAAGCCCATGCTTGGATAAGCATGTGACTGTGAATATTTTAATTTCCAAAGAAGGGTGTTGGTCATATATATGATTAGAGCTTCTTAGCTGTGATTTTGCTACCCTGACTTCAACCTTACGTGTGTGCAGACCCCTTAAACATCACAAGGACAAGTTACCTTTGCTGACGTTTCGAACCATCCCACAAAGCCATTCTCTTTGCAGAACTGCTCCATCTTGATGCCGTTGTTCACCAGCAGCTCTTTGCCCTGGTCGCATTTGTTTGCCAAGAGAACCGCCGGCACCGGTTTGCCGTTGGGGAGACTCAGCTTAGTGTCCAAATCCTCCTTCCATTTGGTGACTGCTTCAAAGGTTGCCGGCCTCGTCACATCAAAGACGATAAACGCTCCCATAGCTTCTCGGTAATAGACTCGCGTCATGTTCCCAAACCTTTCCTGACCTACAAACGAAGAAAGCACACACCGTTAAGTGAATGCACACAAAGGAAGATCAATATTGAACAGATGGGGGGAATCTTTTGATTAGCTTGTTTCCTGGATTCAGGCTGGATGCCTGAGAATATAAGCCTTGCCTAGATGAATCTCATCCCAGGCTCATCTGGCCAGACTGCTTTGGGAGGTGCGGAGCTCACTGGTGTCTTTAAAAGGAAGCTGGTTGGTCATTCATCAGAGATGCTGTAATTGCAAGAATCCCACAGTGAAATGAGGAAATGGCCCAGGGATGATAAGTATTTGACTGCTTCGATCTGTGGAAATGGCAACAGTGGTGTGCAGTCAGTGGATTAGGGAGGCTAGGCTGGTCACCTAAATGTTCCCTTGGTGCCTCCTTCCCAAAGCCCAGGAAGCTTCTGCCCATCTTAAGGAGGGAAGTGCGATGCTCACAAACATCACCACTCCCAAATTGCCCTTGTAAGCTGGTGCTGATTGACAGCACGGTGCTTTTTTCATCACTCACTGAAAACCCTTTTTGTTCAGGCAAGCCTATTCAGACATGAACCTCATTTGCGGTACAGTGGTACCTCGGGTTACAGACACTTCAAGTTACAGACACTTCAGGTTACATATGCTTCAGGTTACAGACTCCGCTAACCCAGAAATAGTACCTCTGGTTAAGAGCTTTGCTTCAGGATGAGAACAGAAATCGTGCGGCGGCGGCGCAGTGGCAGCTGGAGGCCCCGTTAGCTAAAGTGGTACCTCAGGTTAAGAACAGTTTCAAGTTAAGAATGGACCTCCAGAATGAATTAAGTTCTGAACCCGAGGTACCACGGTATATACATTAAAATCAGTATCATACCACATTAATTAGCCACGTCTTCCCCCAAAAAATATTGGACTGCAGTTTGTCAAGGGTGCTGAGGGTGGTTCGGAGACCCCCTTTTTCCTCACAGAGCTAAAATTCCCGGAGTTCCCTGGGAAAAGATATTGGTTGTTAAACCACTCTATTATAGAGCCTGAGTCCTGGAGATGGGATTTTGGTCACTCCACTGTCATGATTTAGTAATGGAAGATTGGCGGCAGGAATATGGGACATGTGATGGGAGATGAGAGAGAAAGCACTGAAGAAACCCAACAAAAATACAGATGGCCTTATCCAATATACAGAAAATAGGCCAGGTTAGCTCGCCCAAGCAGATCAGGCTGTGAACAGATATTCACTCTACAACAGATCGTTCGAAAAGCTATTACTTGGCAAAACTCATCTGAAAATCAATTCTGTTGGTTGATTCCCACCCCCCCTTTTTAAAAAGAATGCAAGCAAGCCCGTCAACACAGTAGTTTGGAGAAGCACTGCTAGATGCATTGAGACACTGAGAAAATTAACCAATGCTTTTTATTATGGAAACAGACAAAAATAATAATACCTGATATTGGACTGGGTATGTGCTGTGATGCAGCTACTGAGATGAGGCTGCAGTCCGCTCCACTTACAGCAGCCTCCCCTGAGAGCAGTTGCTTTCATATACTGAAAGCAAAGGCTCATCTCCTGCTCAGCCCCAAGCATGGTATGTGATCTTGGTCAAGACGAAGGTAGATGTCAACATTAGGCACAGATTCAGTACAGAAAAGTTCTGAAATTGTGAGGACTTTGTTGGCCCAAAAATGGAAAACACAAGAAATTCCTACTATTGCGGAGTTGCAGGTGAAGATCATGGATTTTGCGGAGTTGGCCAAACTGGCTTGCAGGATTTGAGACCAGGACGATCAGAAATTCCAGAAAGACTGGAGTAAATTTATTGTATATTTAAATGATAACTGTAAAAATTTAAAAGCACTAGCAGGACTGAAGTAACTCCTACAATGTAGATAAGTTGTAAAGAGCTAGAATGTGCGATTGGATTTGATATGGGATATACCAGCTGAAGGTGGCACTGTGGGTTAAACCACAGAGCCTAGGGCTTGCCGATCAGAAGGTCGGTGGTTCGAATCCCCGCGATGGGGTGAGCTCCTGTTGCTCGGTCCCTGCTCCTGCCAACCTAGCAGTTCGAAAGCACGTCAAAGTGCAAGTAGATAAATAGGTACCACTCCAGCGGGAAGGTAAACGGCATTTCTCTGTGCTGCTCTGGTTCGCCAGAAGCAGCTTTGTCATGCTGGCCACATGACCCAGAAGCTGTACGCCGGCTCCTTCGGCCAATAAGGCGAGATGAGCGTCGCAACCCCAGAGTCGGTCACGACTAGACCTAATTGTCAGGGGTCCCTTTACCTTTTTACCAGCTGAAGGGAAGGAGGGAAGTTGTAAGCTCGGCAGAGCAAAAAGGTTGATATGTTGATCCATGTATTGTTTGAAAAATGTGTAAGGAAAATAATAAAAATTCATTGGGAACCAACCCCCCCCCCCCGAAAAGTTCTGAAATCTGTTCTCCAGATTCTGAAACGTCTTCTTGCTCTGAGAAAGAGGCTCATTTGCCATTATGGGTATCCTTTTCAAGAAATCTCCCAAAGAACCCCAAGATTCCATTGGAACACAGCTTGAAAACTCCTGCTTCCATCTCTGAAGCCAAGCAGCAGACCAGCCTGAGCTCTTCCGAGGAAGATGGGTTGGAAGGTCGCAACTTTCAGAGTCCAGATCCACCACCCCAATTCCTCTGCTCCCCACACACATCATGTGTTTCTTCTTCCAAATGCACAATGGCCAAAAGCACACAGCCACGAGCTGCCCCATTTATGACACAGACAATATCACAGGTTTGCAACACTGAGCTATTGTTCAATAGGCTAACATTTCTTTCTTTTTTTAAAAAAGGAGGGCACAAATTCATTCACATGATTCAGAAAATCCAAAAGTGAACTTCTGTCTTTGATTCTTTCTCTCTTATTTAACACTGCTATCCATTGATGACGCTAAACTCGAAGCATGATCTTTTTTGGGGAAAGCGAAGGTCACGCACGCACACAAAAATCCGCACAACTCTTTTGGACCATTTCCTGCATAAGATGCCTTATGATCTTTCTCCACAGCCTAATCAGATGAGTGGCTATATCATGTGTTGTCCAACCACCCCTTCCCTGAGAAGATTCCCTTGTATGCCAGCATACCTCCTTCTAAAAAATTCAATTAATTTTCAGAGCAGTAGCTTACAGCAAGAGAATTGCGCACAGTGAATTTTGCAAGACCTCTGCAGGGAAATGAAGAGGGCTGAAGGATTCTTAGGAGTGAAGAAGTTCAAATAAATCTTGCGTTTCCCTTTTGGCCCAAGAGGTCAGAGGTCTGCCAGACACACACACACACACACACACACACAGAGAGAGAGAGAGAGAGAGGTTCTAAATTCTAGCAGAGAGGAATTGCAAAAGGAAATGGGTGAAGACTCGATATACTAGTTGTGTGCTGAACCTCACCCCAATTTTTTCTTCAAAAGTTTCATTCTCTTTAAAAGTGGACTCCCCCACCCGCACCTCTTTTATATGGAAGGGGACAGAACAGAGTGGACAGGCCTCTACATGGTGCCATGTGTTGAATCTGGAAAGTGCTTCTGGGCTGCAAGTCTGCCCACAAACAGCCCAGTCTACTGTGAGTGAGCATGGGATTTTTCAACACCTGTGAGCCGAAAAGAAGATATAGTCATTCCTCGAGTTACAGACGCTTCAGGTTGCGCGTTTTTGGGTTGTGCACTACGCCGAACCTGGAAGTACCGGAATGGGTTAGTTCTGAGTTTCAGCGCTCGCGCATGCGCAAAATCACTAAATTGCGCAGATGCGGCACTGCGGGTTGCGAACACTGCAGGTTGTGAATGTGCCTCCCGCATGGATCACGTTCGCGACCCGAGCATCCACTGTATCTCGTTTAGTTCATGAAACCCAATATCCCACCACCATCATGTTCCCCTCTGCCCTTTTCAGAGGCATCTTTGAATGAAAGCCAGTGTGGTGTAGGGGTTAAGAGCGGTGCACTTGTAATCTGGTGAACTGGGTTCGGGTCTCTGCTCCTCCACATGCAGCTGATGGGTGACCTTGGGCCAGTCACACTTCTCTGAAGTCTCTCAGCCCCACTCACCTCACAGAGTGTTTGTTGTGGGGGAGGAAGGGAAAGGAGAATGTTAGCCGCTTTGAGACTCCTTCAGGTAGTGATAAAGTGGGATATCAAATCCAAACTCTTCTTCTACCCCCTATGCCCTTTGAACGGTTGAAATAAAGACCACGTGAACTTTCAGTGAAGCCTTACCATTTATCTTCCTAAAGGTGCCACATGGAAGATGGAGCAAGGTTGTTTTCTCCTGCTCCGGAAGGCAGGACCTGAACCAATGACTTCAAGTTTCAAGACAGGAAATTCTGACTCAACATCAGGAAGAACTTTCTGAGGAAACAGACTCCCTCAGGAGGTGTTGGACTCTCCTACACTGGAGGTTTTTCAGCAGAAATTGGACGGCCATCCCTCATGGATGCTTTCGTTGAGATTCCTGCATTGAAGGGGTTGGAATAGATGTGCATTGGGGTCCCTTTCAACTCTTCAATTCTATGATTCTGTTATCCTTAACTTCTCCACCCCTTGCACGCTGCAACAAAGTGATGAATGAATTGAACTGATTCTTCACATAGGTTTCCCCCTGTCATGGCTAGCTCAGCCCCTTGAGAGGAAGGGCATGCAGTGGCGTAGCGTGGGGGGTGCAGGGGGTGCCGGCCGCACTGGGCGCAACATCTGGGGGGGCGCGCTCGCCGCCTCCGGAGTTGCCGAAGAGCCTCGGGCGCAGGCTGTAGCAGAGCCCCATGTCTCGCGGAACCAACGAGCTGGCAGCGGCTCTCAGCGCTCGCCGCGGTCCCCGCGCGTCAGGGCCGCAGAGGGCGCGCCAGGCAGCCCCTCCTCACAGCCCCGCCGCCGCTGCTGCTGCTGCAGCTGCTGGGCAATGTTGCATTTTCCTCGCCTCTCTGCCCTCCTCCTCCAGGCAAGTGGCGTCGTTTGGGCGGCAGCGCCGGCGGCAACTCGCCTCAGATCACCTGACACGGA